ATAGACAGCGAAAGATCTTGTTAGTTTGTTAGTGTTTGAGCGCTTAATCAGCTGCTTGCACTGTATGCTTCCCGGGAAACTGAGAATGTTTCGGAGTGTTCTATGGTCTGCTGGGGTAATAATATAGTGTAAAGCGCATAGAGCTTGCTGTTGAGCGGGGATATGCGCTATATACAAATGCTAACTATTATTATTATTATTATTATTATCCTCCTCCTCCCACCCTTTTTGTGCTTTTTTTTTTTTTACTTTGTTTTTTCTGTTTTTCAAAGTCCCCTCATCCATTCTCTTACATCTCGGACCGTTGATCTCGGCATGGAAAAGACAAGAAGGTTACACATTACCAATGGCAGAGATAGAGACAAAGACAAAAGTAGAGAGCAGCTGAGAATCCTTGCAGCTTCAAGGACGAACTGAACTGTCTACGCACACGTCTATGACCCTGCTAGCTAAATTCACGCTAACAAATTTCTCGCCTGTAGTCACACCATTGCACTTCTTTTTATTTAACCCAATCCGTACGTTGTGTTTCACTATCTTATCCATACAACGTGGGGAACTCTGTGCCATCACTTTCAAAGAGGAAACTTACTCGTTATTCCTATCCGTACGCTTTGCATAGCAGTATATCAAAATGATTTTTTGAGAAATACTGAAAGTTTCAGAATGATCTACGTACTAGAAGTATTCTAAAATGTGAAGAATACAACCCCGGGTGTACAAAATGACCCCAGGGTGTACGGATAGGGTTAAAATGCAAGAGTTTCTACGTCCCCAACGACACGATTTAGTCAATCGTTAGCAGGCGGACTTTGACTCTGTCTGTCGGGGCCAACCTGACCTGAGAGGGACACAACATCTCAACATAAAGACAGATATAGTATGCTCGATAAAAATTCTTTCCAGGTTTCAGATTTCGGCGTACCTCAGGTTCGTTGCCCTCCTAGGTTGCTTTAACATTTCCTTTTTTCTTTTCAACCAAAATAAAAGTCCTCTTTCCTCTGCCCTGAATGGAGACAATGTTTCCTTTAGTAGAAAACATTTCGCTATTCCAAGAAGTTAAGCGTTGTCGGAAAATTAAACACAACAACAAAAACAGCAACAACAGAAACAACAGCAACAACAACAACAACAACAACAACAACAACAACAACAACAGCAACAACAACAACAACAACAACAACAACAACAACAACAACAGCAACAACAACAACAACAACAACAACAACAACAACAACAA